ATTCAGACTTGAGAATTGAAATCCAGAGAAAATGCTTCTCATTTAAAAAGGAATAAAAAATTGGAGTATGTAGAAATATTTGAAATGCAGTGCGAGAAGGAATTATTTTTTAAGAGTACTTCTGGTTTATATTATCCAGAGCATCTCAATGGAATAGCTTTGTATTAATAATCTCTCATCTATTATGTATATTGCAATATGCCTAACACAATGGCTGAAGTAATTAGGTACTGCTAATTCTTCTATTTCTTCTTCTTCCCTTTTCTGAGAAGGTAAAGAGATTAGGAGAGTAGTTTAAAACAAAGTATGCATTACACTACAGCCTTCCCACAGATTAGTGGCATCAGCCATTTTTTTCTCATTTTTCTACTTCTACCTAAAAATTTATGTTCTTCTTGAACTCTTCTATTATTCTGTCTCCATTTTAATGCCCACTGACTGCACCGTATCATAGCATCATTGCATTATTTATTTTTGATTATTTAATATTTCACTAGAATTCCATTCTTCAACTTACTTTAATATAGTCCTATTTCAAATGTGCAAAATAAGGAAGCTAGGGAGAAGTAGCTGAATATTGAATTTTTAGTCTGAAAGTTCTGAATTAATCTTGATTAAAGACTCCTGACTTATCCTGTCTGTAATACACTGACCAAGTTTTGAGATGCCTTTTTTTTTTTCTGACAGATATTGCACAAAGCTTGATCATTAATAATTATTTTAAACCTTTTGTAAGTGTCTGAAAAGTCACTGGGAAAAATGCAGAGGATTTAGAATTAAATCTGTGAGACTTCAGTTGTTTTAGATTTTTTTTCCCCACAGTGCCTCCATAAGAGATTCCCTCTGTTAAGTCATCACTAAAGCAATCGTGTACTACTTAACAGAGGTGCTATTTTCTACTTCATGTGTCTCCCTATGAATTGTGCAAGAGGCATTAGAGAGCCCTGCCTTCCACTGAACACATAAAAAGGCATAGCAGAAAAAGCTTTACAGATTTATTACATTCTCTATGCATTGCCTTTCTGGGAGGGAGGGAGAGAACTGGCAGCGGGTCATGCTGCGAGGCAGTCTGCAAGGACACGGGAAGATCTTTGCTAACCCCCAAAGATTTTGAATAGTTCTGTACCGCAGTCCTTATTACCATGAACATATTTTTCAGGCATTACTTGGAGATAACATTAAAGAACCATGCCACTAGGCCTGACTCCTCTTCCTCCCCTCAGCCCTTCCACCTGCAATTCCCAGGTGGAGGGAAGGGGGGCAGGGAGCGAAGCCCAGGGATGCTCTGGGAGGAGGCAGGTCACCAACATCCCTCCAGATGGCACTTCCCAAAGCACCTCCCACCACCAGCTGTGGGCTTCCTATGGCCTGGGGGCAATCCTTGGCAAGAGGGGTGCCTTTTCACCTATGGTAGGCAGCCTTGTTCAAGCTGAGGAGCTTATTTCCAGAGGAGTCCTATGGCACCACCCTGCAGCTGGGCAGGGAGTGAGGAGAAGCAGGCAGAAATGAAACAAAACTGCTTTTTGTCACGTGCTGCTTGGTGGGTGATGCTAACCTCTTCCACGTTTTCTAGTGCTTGATCAATGTACAGATTTTGATGAACAGCTGCTGTGTTTAGGCAACTGGATCAAGCCCTACGTCTGTCATTCTTCAAATCTTGCGTGCCAGGAGGACCACAGCAGCTGAGGAAGTGTAAGCGCAGTGGCAAAAAGTATATTTCTAATAGAAAGATTCTGTGCTATTTTCTCGTGTGCAAACAGCAAGTCACATGGCATCAATGCAGATTTATTTTACCTTGCTCGGAGGAGCAAAAAAGCAAAAATAAACAAAGAAACTGTAAAAGGACATAGAGTCTCGTGGAGAAACTTGTGTATATCATGCTTTGAAAGGATCCTTCATCTTCCATTGCCGCAGAGTTCAGTATCATTCTCTCCGATTACAAACCAAATTGAATCTCAACAGTTGCTGAGCTGTGTACGTGATGTGCCATAGCTTGTTTTTCCACATGCGACTGCAGCTTTATGGATTTCTCTGTTGGGCCTGGCTCTCTGAAGAGCAGACGTAATTGGGGGACTGCTCTGCTGAAATGCTACACTCTGCTTTAAGATTATTTTCATTTGGGGCAAAAATTCAACCACTGACATTATTAAGCTGAGCAACATGAGGCCTAAGTACTAATCTGAGGTTTCTTAGTCAGTTCTTGACTTCTCAGACCTTCGCTGTTTTGCCATCTGCTATAATTGAAAATTGCCTTCTGCAACCAAAGGAAAAATCTAATTTCTCAACAAGCCATATGGGGTTATTAAGATCATTAAACCCTGGTATGCCATAACGCCTGGGCCAAAAGGACTACAGGGCATGTAAATATTGTGTGATTCATTTTATAGCTTCAGACTGCAAGTTAGGAATTGTTTTGATGGCTATCTTATGATGAAAAGTGCTGGTCAAGTAGGTTACTGCAGATGCTGCTTGGCAAGGCCAGTCCATGGCATGTTTGTTTGGAGTTGTGACAGATGAGAAGTGGTTTTAATAGTGTTTGATTGCAAAGAGTAAATCTTTTGTACCAGCTTGACAAATGATGAGAAGCCAGCCAGTGTCCTCAATTGTGCCAGCGATGCTAAAGGCAGCCTTAAATTGTAGTATTAGGAAACCAGAGAATACAATTCCCGCTTCTCGAGGGGACCTAGGCTTGGCTTCTCATACAGGATCTAAAGCTGATGATATAGATTGCGCTCCCTTTCCTCTCTTAAGAATGGGGAAGCTATTCCCCTGAAGATGCCTGGTCTTGAACTGTTTCAAACCGAGCTGCTGGAATTTTTCTCTATTTTCTCCATTTCCCTAGTTGTGTTATTTCATAAGGTTTCTTCCTACTAAACCCCACTTCTATCTATTTGATACAACTACGTGTGAGAATATTAAAGCTTTAATTAAGAATATTTCTGGCCAGAAATGAATGCAAGAGCTGTGAAATTTACATGAAATTAAAGAAAGAATAGTTCAGTAAATGCAAATAAATGCAGAAATGAATATTTTAATTTGGATTCATGATTAATGCCAAAGGATTACCAGCAAACCATTAAAATGTGGTGATGACATAAAAACTCAATGAGAGTAAAAATTCTATATGCACTAGTTAACTGATGGCAGTATGCTATTTTTAGCAGGACAGCCTGGAGTAATTTATTTGTTCTTTTTGAGAAATACCTCTATTGCTTATATTTCAAGTTTTGTCTTTATGTTAATTATGCCTCAGAATTTTTTTTCTTTGCTGGAATACTATGGTATCAGTTCCTGCATTTTATAATGTGACAACTCTGGTCAGTAGATTTATTCCCATTCTGCAAGTTATTAAATGAATTATATTGAAAATAGGCATTACTGCCCCTTTTCTTTGTGCTATGTAACTAAATGAGAAAAAATTCTTATAATCATATATAAGAAAGAAGAGTGACGATTTTATTCCCTGCTTTGGTTTTCCAGTGATCTCAATCTAACTCCATTTATTTTCTCTGTAGGTAATGGGTTTCTGTAGGTCATAGTTTCTGTTTTAAGACAATAGAAATCAAAGCTTGTCTGAACAGGCTTTAGTTTCTGTAGCATTGGGGTCAATATATCTTACTATTTTGAAATCAAGATAATTTAAAGGAGATAAAGTATTTCCTGTTATAGTTATACTGTCCAAATAGCCACCTTATTTTAGTATTCTTGAAAATCACAGTTAGAATGAAAAAGTCTTGATTACATTTTTTCCAAAAGTTGAGACTCCAGTCAAACTGTATTCTTCTTTTTTTTTTCATTTCTAATGTGATCTTTGAGAAGCCATGAAAAAATGTGGTTGGTTTTCAGTTTGCACTTTTTGGTGGATTTTAAATTTTCTTTTTAATTTTTAATGGGAATCTCACAGTCTTCCCCACTTTCTATACTTTGGCTCACCTAACAATACTCCACCTGAAAGAAATACACTTTGTGCCTGGTCCGTTGTGTGCCTCTCATGAGCATTCAAGCCCCCAAGCCAAATGAGACCTGGAACTAGTCTGCAGGATGCCCCCCACAGTCTAGATAATCTCCAGGTAGGGATAGCTTTACAAACAAAAAGTGCTTGGGAATAGGCTGGAAGAGGAAGACCTTGCCGTAAAGTCAGGGTTCTCAGACTTCCCCTGACTTTGCATGTAGCTAAATGATCCTGCTGCCATGATGGCATCTCATTTCTATACCAACGCATTATTCTTCACTGCTCTCTCCTGCACATTAGGCACAAGCATGGGCCTCCTGTTTTCTTGCAGCTACTCTTTTGTAGCTACATTCATTGGAGATGACTGTATGAAAAAATCCTCACCCTGCACTAATTGTAGTGTCCATCCTAATACACCTCATACAAGGGGAAAAAAGGAACAGAAACCTCAGTAATGAAATGTTGCTGGCAGGACATGCATGCGCTTAACAGAAACTATCGTTATGCCTGAACGGTAATTAAAGGCAACACAAACCCAGCAAAATCCTAACTCATCCAAAACTAATGGGAATTTCATCTCCTCTGTTTTCAGGTTTTGTTTCTGGCTTCTTTATGCATTGCTGGTGGTGCTGGTCTTTGATGTGGATCACAAGTGAGCCCATGCGGAATTACGTAATGAAAATAATTTGAAGCCACCCCTGACCTAATCTGGCTTGAAAAAGATGAAGGGTTCGTAATATCATTACTGTCATATAAGGCTGAGCGTGTTTACAGTTGTCTAGCTTCAATCTTCAGGGTGCCCTGAGCTATGGATGTGACTCACCTGCATATCCTTACCCACTGCGTTGGCAAAGCAGTAAATGCATTGCATGGCTATTGTGGCTCCAAGTCTCAAATATTGAGAATTGGTCCAATCTAAACATCAGTGTCATATGCAAGTTTGTGTTTTATTGATTCCCCTTTTCTCATTATTAGACTGATTCTTTCTGTACAGGATTTTTTCACAGTCTTTGTTTAATTTTTGTATCTAATCAATATTTATTTTTACCTGTGTGCATGATTCACAGCATCATCAGGCTTCCTCAGTTTTAAGTAGCAGATTACGAGCTTTGTCTCAATAAAACTGGCAATACTGGAAATATCTTCTGCACTTGACCGAAAGGCAGCTGTAGCAACACCTTTACTGCAAAGCTGTACAAGAAAAAAAATGTTATTTACCAATGTTATAATACACCTTTTGTTAGGTAGAAATGCTTTTTGTAACTGATAAATGGAGAAAACTGACTTCTAAGTAAAATATACCCTGACTTTAACTAGAGTTATCACTACAAAAAGCAGTACAAATAAATGTGAATATAATATAAAATGCAGTGTCATCTTCCTGAAGGGGGATAGTCAAGAGAGATAATAAGCTAAAAACTAAAAGGTGCTTTTATGGACAAAACTATATTTTTCTCCGTTTGCAAAAATAAAGGCTCAACTTCAGTGTCCCAAAATTCATGGCTGTCTTGAGACCGAGGTTGAAGGAGGAGTCTCAGACATCTATTTACTGATTTCAGTAAACTGGTGGTGGGCTCTGCTTTAGGCTCTGCTGCCCTTGTCCCATGGATCAGACAGAGTGGCACAGGGCAAGAAAACCAGAAACCCTTCTCCTCATTTAATGGGAGGACTTGTCCTTCCAGAAAACTGCCATAGAAAGTAAAAAGATCAACTGTCTTTCCCATCTTCTTGAGCCTTATAGAATTTACCGTAGAGAAACATCACATTTTCTCTTTTTAAAAAACCACTCTTTTCTCAATACTTAAATTGCCTGATGTTCATCACAGAGAGTGACTTGCTCATTAAATAATGTTCTGTTCCATAACGTGCTTCGTCAGAATTAGATAACCCACAACTTAGTGTTTTGGAGAGTCCTCAGTGCTGGCAGAGCTGCAATACTGGGAGGGACCATCTTCAGTCCTCAAATTTTTGTTTCCTAAATCTGCAAGCAACCTGATTTTGTAATGCCAAAGAATAGTAAAAACTACATTTTAGTTCTTAAGAAAATTCAACTGTAAGCCGTCAGATACAGCTGCAAACAAATAGATTAAGTCTAAGAGCCTTGTCTTTAAGGACAATAACCATATAGTGCTACTAATGAAAATGCAATTGAATGTCCTTTGCTTGGATAAACATCCCTAACGGGATTGTTTAGTGTGCAGTGATTTCCTCTGACTAAGTGACTTCACTGCAAATCAGCTTTAAAAGTAGATTTTTAATGAAGATGACCGAATTAATATTAATCTAGGCTGTGTGCTTAAACTTCTGGATCACAGGGAGCCCAGTGCTGAGGACCCTTGCGGCACTGATACACAACTGCAGCCTGATGTCGATGAAGGCAAGTTCTGCTTTCAATGGGGTACGACTCAGGGGCTCTTGATGGAGTCCAGTTTTGCCAGCCTGGCTACTCATCACTAATGAGTTTAGTTACAATAATTTCTTGTGCCTATGTAGCTAAAATCCAGCAGCTGTTCTTTAGAAGATGTGATGTCAACTCAGCATTTTGAGATCTCTTTAGACTAAATCTGTCAAGAAAAAAAATCTCTTCTGAATATGCATGTTTCTTCCCATGTGTGATCCTTAAAAGCAAGAAGGATTATAGACACACATCTGCACTTAGCACCTTCAAAACTTGCCATGTCTTTAAGATTTTTGTTCAATGGTTAGAGATCAGTTCTTTACAGGCAACAGGGATCATTCAAGGAAGTGTCCCCCTAGTTCGAGTGTGATAAATATTTTTTTTTTCCTTCACATCCCTTCTATGCTGAGAGAAGTTACACAGTGTATATAATAACACCCATACATTTAAGATTTTCTATCATCTTGTTATCAGTATAAGTTATAAATCAGAGAATTCATCACTTTTAACTTTGCTCGTGGTACCATATATATCTGCTGAAGTGTCTGTATGGATAAGACATGCTATATGTAGCTAAAAGACCCAGAGAATTATGTTCACATCAGTGAACATAAAAGTATCATCAAGTTTTTCTGTAATAACACTTTTCAGCTGAATTGGCCATGCTGTGACCTCTGTTGAATTTATGGGAATGAGAGATTTGAGGCTACTCCCTGGACTTTCAAGTTCTTGAATGATTGTGAGAAGAAAAGAATCATTTAGGGATCCCTTCAGCATAAAGTGCTGCAATTCAGAGTTTCCTCAGGTCTTACTGACCTGATACGAAGAGTTATATTTAGACCTGCACAACCCCTCAGTTATCTTTGACAAAACCCGAGATGTGAATCTCTGTAAACCATACCTGAACAGATAAGAATTCAGAAAATATGTTTAAATACAGTGAAGATTGGGTTCTGCCAGGTCTCCCCTAAGACATCTCAGAGTAAGAGTTCAAAGAAACGAATAACAACTCAATCTTTAATCTCACAAAATCAGAGTAATATTCCAGAAGGATGTGTCTGTGCTTAGGACCATCCAGATTGTATGTCCCAAACTCTCTCCTAATTTTTGTGCAGCATTTCTGCAGTGGATCAATACGTTTGAGAGAGACACCCCTCCACAAATAACAACAACACGTGCCAAAAGTAAAATTCGACTTAATTTTACAGAAATGGCTCTTTCTGTACTAGGCAGAAGGGTTATGCGTATATGGAATAGCCCTAGTGTCTGGCATTAGTGAGGTGCACAATTAAATGCACTCACTGGTACAGGGGAGTTTTTTGATACCAATATAGACCCCACTGGAGAAGGCTTCTGTTGGGCAAACCACCTCAGCATAGCTGAAAAGCATATCATCATTTTCTGACCTCTGATGGAGATGATGCCTTTTTTGTGTATTTCATCCTCCTTTACTGAATTTTGCTAGCCTTTCTGACAGAGGGACGTGGCTATGCAGCAGGAGAACGACTCACTCCTTGCATCGTCCTGCCTGCCACTGGATATTGAGTCGGAGGGGTGAGGCAAAGACAGTGCCAGAAAGCACCTGAGAAAGCTCATGTGGGGAAGTTCCCAGAGGAGGAGTTAGGCAGGAAGGAGACCATGAGCTGGGATTTTGCAGCACAGGTGGGGATGTGGAGAAGAGTTGTAGAGACACTCACCTCGGAGTTTCAAAGGGGAAGAGAAAAAGGAAAATTTCCTAGGGATCCAAAAGAGCTTCCGTAGCTACAGATTGTTGTAACTTTGGGAAACCCTGCTGGACTGAGAGCAAGGGAAGAAGAAAGGCTGTGTCATGCACAGACGTAATGAGCAGGGAGGAGATTTACTTGCAATTTTCATGTTTCACCTAGCAGAACAGAGTTTTCTTTATCTTGCTGCAGTCTGCAGCCCAACAACACTGCCTTTGAAGATCAAAAGGGCTGTTGGTGTTTTTGGAGTGCTTTAAGTAAAAGCTAAAAGCAGCTCCATCTCCCTCCTCTGAATACCTTATGGTCTTGTCACAAGGACATTCAAATACAGATAAGGGCTTGGAGAGGCAGTTAAATTTTATACCATTGAAAGTTTTTTTTTCCCAGAACTACGTTAAAGATTTTTATTTGAATTCCAAACTGGGAAATTTGGGGGCACATCTTACCTAAGGCTTTGGTGAGCTTTTGTTCTGCAGAAATCTTACCAATATCTTAAAGTCTGTAGAGGCTATGAAATTGAAGCAAACAACTTAATACATTTGAAGCTTTACAGCCAATATGGGGTTACACACCTGCAATGTACCATTTTATGTCCTTTACCATAGCCAGCAAATCAAACAGGGTGGTTTGTGGTTTTTTTAGTTTGATTATTTTTTCTTTCAATCTTAGTCTACCTGAGAGTACCTGTGAGTAGATGGAAATATTTTTCCATAAATAATATTTAATTTAAAAAAATCATGCCAAAGGATATTTACACTTTCATAGGGGTTCTTGTTACAACTGGAGGCCATCGTGCAGGTTTTCTGTATGTGTATCCTTTAGGAGACTGAGTTGTCCCGTTCAGAGTGTTACCAGGTGTATAAATGAATAGGAATGAAAGCATTACCAGCAATTTTTATATTCATAGCAAACAGACACTAATTATATTATGCTTTCACTGATAAAGAAGGTTTCTCTTGCAACACGTAGGACCTTACAAACATACTGCTGGAACCACAGCCATATAAATGCTTGTGATCAGTGCTTTGCCAAAGATTCCAGAACTAGTCTGTGACACTGTGAACTCAGCAGAGATCTTGTTGTGGTATTAAGACTTTAATTTCGGCAGTAACAAGCAAGGAAGTTTTATGAGCAACGACCTCCCAGGCATTAGCTCATTAGAAAGAGAGGAAAAGATCCCCCCAAACCCACCATGGCTTTGGGAAGAGATCAGTGGAAATGTTGATCATTAAGGTAGGTTCCTAGTTAGCATGTGCAACGAAAGAATAAAATTAGAGCTCTGGTGATCTGTATGATAGCATGTTGGAACAGTTTCCACTGAAAACAAGATGAAAGTTCAGGTGCAAGAAGCTTGCAATGGTAAGAGTTCACTTACCACTGCTATAGGTTTGGTGTATGTTAAAATTCAGCAATACATTGTGCCTTGAAGAAGACGACATCCAAGAGATGCCCATCTACATATGCGGATATAGGCATGTATTTGATAGCAAATTAACTTAGGAAAACAAGTAAAATTGGTCAAATGGTGTGTGGTAATAAGATTCTTTGGCAGCTTCTGTGAGATATATCATGCTTTCCTCTGTCAGACTGAAAGGGTAGAGATTCAATATAAATACAGCAATAACCTGCTACCTGCTAGCCTTGCTGGTGCTGATTGCCTTTTTTTTTTTTTTTTACTACCCTCTTAGCAGAGGAATGCTTAATCATGCCTCTCCATTTTAAAGATAACTGTGGCTTTCCCTGGAGCAATTTTTTTTTTAGAGTGGTTAATCAGAAGGACAAACCTGAAAAGGCAGGAAATATTTAATTAGTGCCTTTTCTTCTGACTAGCCAACAGTCCTAACCAGATGCCTTCACTCCAGAACCATCCAAGTCATCAGCCTGGTAACGTCACTGCATCGCACATCAGGCACCTGGCAAGTTGAACACTAACTGCATCCCAGAAAATGTCTGCTAAGGCAGGCTACTTCTGAAAATAACTTTCAAAACCTGATAGCAAGCCTCGCACAGAGCTGAAAACAAATTGCTTCTTGTGTTTTGCCCTGAAATCCAGTCCTTACGACAATTAG